GAAAGAATTCACATTCAAACGTAAATATTTCTATAATCAACAGAAGAAGGGCAAAAAATATAATCAACAATACAAATGAAATACAAATTGTCAACAAGCGCATGATGAACTGCTCCACTGAACTGGTTAGGGACCAAAGCAAAAGAAGGAGACTCATTTCACGGCCATCAAAATGGCAATGTTTGAGCCTAAGGCATAATCATAGTAGTGAGGAGGATGCAAAATGGGAGCTCCAGCAATCCCACATTTGGGTATATCCCCAGAAAGATCTCTCCCATTTGGGCACATGTACAAATATGCACATTTGAGTATCATTCACAACACGGAAAACAGGAAAGACCTTTGTTCAAAGTCTTTCAACGGGAAATGGATTTCAAGAATTAAGGTCTGTTCCTTCAATAGGCAAAGTGAATAAATAATTGACTGCATCAACATGAAGAAAGATCTGCAAGATGCTACAGGGTAAAAGTTACATAGAGAGGCATAGCATGATACTATGTATACACATATTGGAAAAGATCTGCCGTCAAGCAAACAATGAGAGCCTCACAGTGATGCAGTAAAAGTGTAACAGGTTTAGGAAGGTGGGTATGGGATGGGGGGAGAATGGAAGGGGCGGTGGAGACATGGCAGAGAGGAAGGGTGGAGCACAGAATGAAGGCAGGACTTCAATTCATTCAATGCTCAACACATACTGACCAACAGCCACACTAGTCTAGCTACTAGGGATGAGCAGAGAACAAGACAAAAATCCCTGCTTTCTGGATCTTTCACTTTAGTGGAGAGACACACACAAAACAGGACAAAGAAGTAAAATCTATATTACTTGTATCTGGCATGCTAAAAAGTTCTGTGCAGCAAAGCCACGCAGGGAAGGAGATACAATGTTGGGGGGAGAGATCTGTAATTGATACTCAACCGGATGGTGAAGGAAGACCACCCCAGAAAGGTGGCACCTCCATCAAGACTGAAGGAGGAGGAGGAGGAGGACAAACAACGTAAGGGGACCAGAGTGCCATGTCCCAGGAAGGACAAGGAGGCCGGTGGGTCTGGGCAGATGGGGGTGGAGGGCATCTTATGAAATGAGGCCAGACAGGGAACTAGTGGGAGCTGTAGGCTGGGACCATGATCTGCACTTGCCACCGAGTGTGGTGGGCAGGCTCTGGACAGGAGGGACATTTTAACACGGCGATCTTAACATGATGTACATCTTAACAGCACCAGCCTGACCATCTCACTCAGGAGTTCAGGAGGCCACTGCATTAGGCCAAGAGAAAGATCTAATGGTGGCCTGGACCGGGTGGTCGTGATGACACACGGTCAGATCCCAAAAGTACCAACGGGATTCACCAATGAATAGATGTGGAATGTGAGGCACAGAGAGTTGTAGGGGACTTAGTCTTCTATTCTACTCTATAATGCTTTATTTCATTTTTTTAAAAAATCTGACTCAAACGCGGCCAAATGCCAGCATTGGTTCCAGGAGTGTGGGTATTTATTATTTTCTGTCCCCTCTGGTACGTCTGAAATACAGCAGATCACAAAGTGAGGTAATTTCATCAGTCAGCATCGGAGGTTTTTCTTTAGGTAAAGACCATACCAACTAGGGGGTCACTACTTTGCGTCTTGATAATAATGAAAAACACACCTTTACTTCTTAAATCATGTTAACAGTGTATGTGCCTATTACTAAGATGGCCAAATAGTGGAGACAAAGTGCTCGAATAAGCCACTTACTTTCAGCCTTTGTGTACCCATTGTACAACAGACTTACAACAGAAGTAAAGGCTTAATATTTTCTCCTAATATCCCCTGGGCAGGATGTTTACCTCTCTCCTTCTACGGCTCACCCTCGATGTGACATGCCAATGAGGTTAATTAAATAGTTTAAAAACAGCAAGTCACGGTTGATAACCAATATACACTTCTGCTTAGCTGATTTATCTACTTGCTTGATCATTTTTTATAGTGCCTATAATACTGAATTGTTGTGTGCTGGTTTTAAATGAATGGAGTAAAACTTCCAAGGTTCTGTCCTTTGCTTACCAGGAAAGCACCTGCTCTCAACAGAGACCTACTGAAACCTTCCCATCCATTTTAGCTTACACACTATCTGTCTCTAAAGTCTGGAGACAGATTTTTCTTTTTTAATTAAGAAATAGAGTCAAAACAATGTCAATACAGGTCTATGTTCTCTGCAAATCTCCACCTAGACCATCAGATATTTTTTGTTTCATCAGCGGCTTCCCACTGGGGAGCGAGTAGGATAGTATCTTTTGGGGATCAGGCAACATGTTGTAATTGTAAATGGTGTTTATGGTTCTAACAGAAATCTAAAGGATGTTAATACATTCATGGAAAACATACACACAAGAAAACAATGAAACTCACTTCTCAACATGTGTAATAAATCCTACATACTCTAAGTATAAAACTCAGAATTTAAGTTAAAAACAACTTTTCTAAGAAAGAAGAGCGTCTATGTTCATACATTAAGAAAGCAAGGAATGGTGTCTGAAAAAATTCTACAGAATGCTCCACAGCCCATGGGCGCCTGGGTGGCTCAGGCGTTAAGTGTCTGCCTTCGGCTCAGGTCATGATCCCGGGTCCTGGGATCGAGCCCCGCATCGGGCTCCCTGCTCGGCAGGAAACCTGCTTCTCCCTCCTCCACTCCCCCTGCTTGTGTTCCCTCTCTCGCTATGTCTCTCCCCGTCAAATAAATAAAATCTTAAAAAAAAAAAAATGCTCCACAGCCCTGCTGTTGACACATAAGACGTGTGACAAGCTACCTCACAAGGAAATCATAAAATCACCACTATAGAAACCTCCAACACCACCTCTCAATTTTAATTCGTTTTAATTACAAAAATAAATATATTTTACTACATGCAAAACATATATATAAGTATATAAAACAAACATACTCTCACAAAACAATGAGAGCTCAGTAATTAAAGCCAAGACTCTGTTATATAACCACAGGCACTTGGAAAAATTATTCCCTAGAACTGTAATTCTCCAATTGTATTTTTCCAAATATCATGAAATGCAATTATCCAAATAGGCACACCCCTTTTCCAAATAAATGCCCAAATTATGCCAACAACCTCTTTTCTAAAACACATTTCTAACACTTGAAAGTTCATAAAAAAATATTTAAAAAACCTAGAGACATTTGGTAAACATTTTGGTAAACCAAAAATCTGATAAATATTTAACCCCTGCCTAATGGAATAATCAAGCAGCGTATATGCATATACGAATATTTTCCCCCTTTTTTCACCCAACTGATTTTTTCCTTTAAATTCTTAAAGGGATCTTATTACTACTTAGGACTTTAGAAAGTGCAACCACGCAGCATTTCAGGTATCTAGAAGAAGTCTTTCTTCAATGACGTGGACCCATCCGTACAAATGCTCTGATTACACAAGTCAGCAGGAAGTAGACATGGTCCATGGGAATTTCAAACTCAGCAAGTGACCTGCTGTTAAATTCTGCAGCAGAAAAAGACTTCCCTGATCTGCTACCACAAGATGGTTCACAATAAAAAACCTGTAGGACCAAAAGGATTAAAAAGATACCTAGACTCACATCATTGTTTGACCCTGCAGAGCACCCGCAGAATCCCGCAGGTGTCCCATTTGACAGTCTTGAGGACTGAAGTGCGATCTGGCCAGAGTCACCTGTGAGGACCAGCACGATGCCACACAGAATCAGGATGCCGACCCCCTCGCTATGACTTACCATCCATGTGATGTGGCCTTGGGTCGGTCACAGAAGCTCTCTGCGACTAAGCCCCGTCCCAGGGCCATGCTCATTTTGAGGATGAAATGAGTTGGGCATATTCAACAGGGCAAACAGTGGTCTCTAAAAGTTCACCACATTGTAACAAGACCACGTTCTGCCACCACAGCCCTCTAATGAGAAGGATCAACGGCAGAAGTGGAAACACTGAGCAGGTGTCTCCCCAGTGGGGATGAGCATGGAGAACAGGGGGGAGGGAGCCCAGTGGAGCTAGGGACAGACAAGTGAGGCAGGAGCAGCATGATGAAAGGCTGCATCTGGACCCTAACGTGCCCCATAGGGAGATGTCCACCTCAGAGCACATTCATAGGGCTGATGTGGGAGGGCGTTAACCTCCCAGCACGGTGAACACTACCCATAATCCAGTCCCTGGTGAGCTGGAAAGGTCAGCACAGAACCCCTGTATTATTTGTGGGTCGCTGTTAAAATCCTGCTCTAAGGTTTATTCTTCTAGGTCATCTCTTCCCATTTCATCTTCTATTATTCTATCATGCCCTCTGTTTTCCTTCCCACCCCCTCTCCCTCCATCTGGCTGCTCTCTTCCCTGCATGAACATCACAACTGTCAGGGACAGCAAACCACGTTACAGAACCACAAGCGCGGTTCTTACCAACAAGAATGCGGTACATGGTCCCAATTATGTGCAACCCGGCTCCAGACTGAATTATTTTAATGTGTTAGTGCATCAAACTGTTGGCTATCAGAGCGTGACCAAGCTCTAGGGAAAATTTAAATTATTGGAAATAAAAATGGAAAGAAATGCTTCTTCCGTGGAGCCCAGCGTGGGGCTCAAACTCACAACCCTGAGATCAAGACCTGAGCTGAGATGGAGTCGGATGAACAACTGAGCCACCCAGGCGCCCCTTGTTGCATTTTTAAAGCCACTTCTCACACACGTTTAAGTGTTGAGCGATGATCACCTAGCAGTGTTGTGCCCTCTGTCAGCACACACGATGACCAACAGGGAACTGGGGTGGACAGAAGTGGACGTCTGGAGAAGCCCAAAGTCACGCACCTCACCAGGGGAGGGAGCTGGGATAGACTCCTGTGTCAAGCCACCTGCCAGACACACCTCTCCCACAATGCTGAAGTCATTTACAACCTGAACTTCTCGAGATTAACAAAGGCACACTTCAGTGACAGTAGGACGCCCTCCTGAACCACCCAAACCCTGCACATTTTCGCAGAATACGAACCTTTGGGAGGGGTGAGATTGACTCCGTTTTTAAGGCACCACTGCACTGGTAAAATCCCCAAAGAATCTGCATGGCACAGCATTGAGAGTCTACTAGGTTCTGGTCTTAGGTCGTCAATAGTCACTTGAAAAAAATGATTGTTAAAAACCTGAAAGAAAGAACAAACCACAGAGCCGAGGGTTAATTCCGTGGGCTTTTCATGTGAAGCTAGTACGAAATGCTAGCAAGCTTCCAAAGGCAATAAATACATTCCATCAAAACAATTTCAGCACAAACCAGCACCTCGATGTATATTACTAAATTGATCCAGTTGCTAATCAGTTAAGAGTTGATCACTCCGATCATTTTAATGGAAAGAGAAGCGAATGAGTAGGACACATATAAAACAGAGAAGGAAACAACATGGGTGACTTTAGAGAAGTCAACCGAGGGCTGGAAGAAAACCAGACTTAATGCAGGAAGACAAAGCCAGGCCTACAGCAACGCCAAGATGGGCCCTGGAACGTCAGCGGTTTCTCCTTGTCCACGGCAGGGACCCATAAGCTCACACCAGATCACTCAAGAAGCTCCACCAGCTGGCTTGGGGACTTCTGGCTTCATCCGGCCTCCCCGCCCTACAATGACCCCAGGCTCCAGCCCAAGAAGAATCACCCCCAGGCACATCCCTGCATCCTCCCAGCCTCAACACCCACTGTGCTGAAGCTCTTTCAAAACACAGTGCATTTTTCAAGGTGCGTCCTGAAAGTCAATGCTGCTGGAACATTTCCCTGACCACTCCGGTTCGAGTGTAGGGTCCCTGCTCTGTGCCCCCAAAGCTTCACCCCTGCACCTCTGTCCTGAAAGTCCTCATTCCTTCCTGGGGGCTGATCCCAAATCGGTCTCCCCCAACAGATCCTCTGAGGGCAGTCTCCTCTTTGTTACTCATCAGGGTGTTCCCACAATGCACAGAAAATGCTTTGTACACAGGAACTGCACACACAGCCACTGCATGTAGGGAAAAAGAAAACATCAGTGAAGAGCTAGGAACAAGGAAGAGCAGAAAGCAAAACTGAGATGGACCCAGCATTTTAAAGAATGATGGTGTTAAAGAACCTAGTATGTGAAACAGGCCAGGGAGAAAGGCATCACTTTACGAGCTCGACAGACATAAACCAGTCTTGCGTAGGAAACCCTAACACTTACTAAAGCTCTGATTCCTGGCTGCTTCATTTCCGAAGTATCTTCTGGAAGCAGCCTAATTAAAAGCAAAGCAGCAGAGTGCACTCACTTCTGTTCTTCTCCATGCTAATTCCGGTAAACGGCTATTGTTGTGCTGCCTGAGGTCTGCCTTTGAAAGTAGACTTTACAGAGCAAAGGACCAAACCTCACCTTCCCACAGAGATCTTCCCTGCAGCCTGATTTAAAACCACATCCCGCACTCTGGCCTTCCACCCTCCGCTCGTCCCTTCCCTGCTGTGTCTTTCTCCTTAGCGTTGAACACGTAACATTCTATATGGATTTACTGACTTTGTCTCCGCCCCCCCATTAAAATATAAGCTTTGTAAAAGCAGGGACTTTTGTCTACGTTCCCAGTGTCCAGAATAGTGCTTAAAAATGCCAATGGGATGGGATGGAGTCTCATATGCACGTGCACGGACACACACACACACACACACACACAGAAAGGTATATTAAAAGTGCGGTATTCTGGTGGCTGAATTTCTTAACACCACTGGACCCTGTAAGGATGTGCACTAAGGAATCTCTAAAACCTATTAAAATGCACATTCGTGTGTACGTACTTCAGAAAATAGGTAAATCAGTTTCTTCAAATCCATCAGAGTTATGGTTCACATGTCCAGAAACACTGATCGGGTCTAAAACCTGCAGGTCTCAGAAGTAAAACCTAGAGCAGGTAAGCAACCAGCCCAAGACTATGTGGCTCAGAGCTAGCCATAAAAGAAACAGAACCAAGACTGTTTATCTAAACAATACAATAGATTTCACATACACAGATAGGTCATCATCATCATCATCTGTCAGTATCATACTGTTCTGGACCACCAAAAACATAATCTATAATCTCACTGTATGGCTAAAGGCTGGGCATTTCCTCCAGGATCTGTGACACAGTTAACTGCTTTCCTGTCTATTGGCTTTAATGTTATTTATTTATTCCTTCAACAGGTGTGCCATGAAGAAAAGCCTCGAGGAAAATGAAAATGAAAATTTCATCATGATGAGTAGTAACAGTGCAACGTTATATTCTCAAACATAATATTCTAAAACGTTTTCCAATGTTAGGAGGAATGTGTTTAATTATAAATACCGACTACATTAGGAATATCCTGATATTTCACTCTACATAGGGAGTCTTGAACCTGGGGACATGCCCATCTACGTGCTAAGAGGCCAAAGCCCACATTTCAATCCATGTGTTCTACAACAGAAGGCCAATAGGAGAAGAAAAAGGGATGCATGCAGAACTGAAAGGCTGAGTGTGTTATCTTTGGTAAAAAGGGTAAGAAAAACTAAAATGAAAAAGAAAAAGTGTACCTTAAAAAAAAATCAGAGAAAATATCCTCCCTGGCCCCAACCCCAAGAAGATTTATTTAGAGATAAAATTATTTATCAGGAAACCAAACTACTGTTACTGGAAATCTATCCAACAAGACGAGGATATTTGGGCTGAACCTAACCATAAGTAGCATGCCACATGCTAACATGATCGATTACAATTATTTACAGGTATGGAAGTGTGAGTTCACTACTGACAGGACTCAGCACGTCTGCACCTGTTTCCTTTACTGTAAAAACACCAGGCGAAGCTGACACTTAGCCTCTTAGAAAGAGGACAGGGTAAAATGCATCCAGGTAAACCGGCAGCTGACTTCACCGTATCAGCTGCTGCTGGAACAAAGGGAAATCCTGGCCAGGATTCCGCAAGATACCACTCATCAGTTCTGGGAAAATGTGCACCTACCAGAATACACATTCAAGAACCCCAAAGGTCAATTTAAATAAAAAGGCTTTAATGCACGGTGTATGACTGTGAGGGCATAAATTGCAACCCCAAAAACCACACTGCAAAGCCTAAGTCAGTATTTTTCTCGGGCGGGCAGTTATTCTTTACATAAATTACTGTAAGCGTTACATAGAAGTAATTTATATGTTCTAAAGAAAAAATATTTGGAAAAGAAAGAAAAAGGCATTCCATGACTATAACATTCTCCATACTCTGAAATACATTATCACCACTATATTTCTCAATTTTACCAAATCATGAATTTAAAAAAGAGGATACAAAATGACTCTAAGACACTCATCACTGTATTAACAAATCCAGTCTTCCTTGGTAAAAGAAATTAAAATGGAATTGACTTCTGGACCGTTAATTAAGTTCCCTCACAAAAGGCCATTAACTAAAACACACACTGGGTAAGAATGCTGGGTTTCTCGCTTTCCCCCGCCACCTATTAGAGAACACTTAAGGTGGAAACGCGTACTGTAGGGGTGACTTCCACAGGTGACTTCCGTGAGATTATCTGCACGGCCAAGGGAAATTACAATCTGAAAGACCATCAGCCCGTCGTAAAAATAACTTCACGTTCAAAGGTAATTTCATTTCAAATCTGCGAAACATAGAGGCAGGCTCTTCCTTTAGTGAAGGAAAAGCCGGTGGCAAAAAGGAAGCAGACGTGGGGACAGACACTGGAGATGGGTCCCTGGCTGGCATTTCCCGAATGCAAGTCGATCACACCAAGGACTGTCAGCGGACGAGAACCAAGTTACTACTGCAATGATTACCGTGTGCAACTGCCGAGCAGTTCGTGCTACGAGAATGGGAACAAACAGACGCGTGGATATGACCCTGGCCAACCACAGAAGGTGGCACATATTCGTGGCTGAGTTCACTGCTATAAACTCAGCTGCGCACCTGCACCTCCTTCCAGGTCACTCAGGGACACCCTCATCGACAGTCCTGTCTGTGTTGTATTAACTCCAATCTCTGCTGCAACAGGAGGCATGTGACCGGCCTGGCTCTGTGTGACCAGTGACAAAAGGGGCGCTTAGGACAGCGTGGCCGGGGGAGAAGGTGCTCCCCGGCTGGTGTGCTGTCCTGTTCACTGCACTGTGGCCCGCCCCTGCACCAGCACTTTTCATCTGGCCCACTGTGAGCAGATCGGCGGGAGGCGGAGAGCAAGGGAGGGAAGCTCACCTTGGTCACTGATGCAGGACAGATATGAAACGGCTCGCTCAAATTCACTGTTTCTAGCTTCATCCCAACTGTGAAGAAATGGCTTCGCAGATCTGCATGATCCTGCGGGGGGAAAAGGACAGAGACGCTGAAAGCTGATGGTATTGTAAATTAACTCGGGCACTGTCTGGACGCTCTCCTTAAATATTTTATTGGGTAACTAAAGTCGGACTGAAATAATTAACCCTCGCCGTTTCAAATTTCTCATTATTGCAAGATACTGCGGATTTAATTATTTTCTGCGAGCTAAATTGCTTTTCCGAGGGAAGGACACAAGGCTTTGTGGCCCACGCTTAAATTTACACTAAGCAAAAAAATTCACGTTGCCCTGCTTTGATCTTCCTAGGTGCTCTAACAGAAGCACAGCAGAATAATGGAGGCAATCAGTCATCTGCAACACACAGCAGGCGCATCTTCAGGAAACGTGGCCTCTTGCTCCTGGAGCTACTTCGCAGGGCTTCGGGGAGACCCTGTGGCTGACACCACTCGTCCCTGTCTCCTCGCCCAAGAGCATACAGCTTATCAGGTACTGGTGGTAAGCCGCCGATCCTGGGAATGCGTGCATATAAAGGTCCAACACAGCCCTGCACATGATCACAACCCGACTCCTGCTCAATAAAGATGAGCAACACCCCCAGTTTAATAGGCGTCTGACAGTTTTATAACCCACTCACAGGAACCTTATGTGTGCAAGATAGAGTCTTCCTGCCTTCCCAAGAAAACAAATTTCAATATCCACTTTCCCTATCCAGCAATAGATGAGGCTGGCTGGACTCTGGATACCAGGATTTATTTTGCTGAGATGGAGGTCATCTCATAACTCACTGCCTGGATAAAAGCTAGTGGATAAATAAATGTATTTGCAGCCCGTCCCTGAGGGCCTAACAGCTGCAAATATATCCTGCAATTTCTAAATACATCAATTGGCCGGAAAGTACACAAATACCGAGGGACCTGTTACTTTATCTGCAAATCTAAAGTGGATGTTTAATTAATTCAGGGATGTCATTCCACATGCGACTCAGGATCGTCGCGTGGAGTCCCGTGGGGCTGGGACTACTCCCCTCGCAAAAGCTGGTTGGTGCAGTTGGTGGAGCACAGGAGACCACAGAAGACCTGCTTACAACACTCCCCATCACTCCACTGTGTCACAAAAGAAGGTGCAGACTCGCAATAAATGCTGGGTCTGGCCAAAGCCAACGGCGCCGCATCCGGGGGCGGGGTGAGGGGGTGACCAACGAGAAGGGATGTGTTCAGTGTGCGACATATGACAAAAACTCATGGACAGACCTAGCCCGTTCTCGACCTTTACACATTCCTTAAGAACTTAACAACCGGCACTTGACAAAAATCATATGCATATGAGGCAAAACACAAGGAAATATTCTTAAGTGCAGGAGATGATTTTATTGTTTCATACTGGTAATACAGCAGGGTTTTTTTTAAAAGATTTTATTTATTTATTTGAAAAAGAGCTAGTGAGCAGGAGCGGGGTAGGGGGGCAGAGGGAGAGGCACACTCCCCACTGAGCAGGGAGCCTGACGCTGGGCTTGATCCCAGGACCCCGATCAGAACCCGACTCCTGCTCAATAAAGATGAGCAACACCCCCAGTTTAACAGGCGTCTGGCGTCGGGTCAGATCATGACCCAAGCCGAAGACGGATGCTTCACCGGCTGAGCCACCCAGGCGCCCCTATAGCGTTTATTTTTAACAGTGGCTGGGAAGCTGGCTCAGGAAAAAAAAAAATCAAAGAAACAGTACAGAGAGTTAATGCATATTAACACACATCAACCACAGTGCCAAGGCAGGACCAGAAACCACCGGGGGATGAGACAAAAGCAGTAAACTTGAACCGAAAAGCACAAGCTGATACCTGAATGAAAAGATTAAACGTCACAGTTCCTGTCAGACATCAACACCCCCCGTATCTCACCATCTGTGGGAACTGAGGCACATTAGTGGGTTGTGCAAATACTTTTCCCCTTTAAAGTACAAGAACCCTTTCCCCTTCTGAAAGAAGGAATTACCCCCAAATCGTAATATAACATAAACTTTGCCTGAATATACTTAACAGGGTGAAGCAGTCATCATTCTCCTGCTTGACAAGACAGAAATGTCCTCAGGTACAAAGGACGCACGTGTAACTCCAGCTGAGCCTTGAACAACGCGGCAGTTAGGGGCACCAACCTCCCGCACAGTCGAGAATCTGCACATAACTTCCGACTCCCCAAAGTTATGAGCCTACTTCTGACCAGAAAAGCCTTACCGACCCCATAAACAGTCGATTAACACATATTTTGTATGTTGTCTGTATGACATGCCGTATTCTTCGAATAAAGTACACTAGAGAAAAATGTTAGTAAGAGAATCATGGAGAGAACCCATTTCTAGCACTAGACTGTATCTATCAAAAAAATCTGCGTTTAAGTGGAGTTCAAATCCACATGGTTGAAGGGTCAACTGTATAATAAATGGCCCAGACGAAGGGAAGGTTTTCACAAAAGTTCTGCTTCTCTCTGCTATCAGATGTCCCTCCTTGCTGCCGTGTTCCCTCTCATTACTCACAGCGACAAGGCTAAACGTTCTCGAGATGTGGCTCACCAATAATAGGAACTGTGTAACTTCTGGCTGCCTCGGCCCCTGGCGCTCTCCTTGCAATTCGATCCATCACCTGGCTTTGTTTCTCCTTTCTATTTCTGCTGTCTGCCATTCCTGACCACACTCTGGGCTTCTGGTCTACCCACTGGTCTTCAGCCCCTCTTGATTTCAGCTCTGTGCCCACTCTTTGCCCCAGATACTTCTGTTCCTACCTTTGCACTGAGCAGAGCCAGCCTTCCAAGTAGGGCTGACACAGGGCTGCCGGACCCTCTCTACATCCCAGGATCTCAGTTTGACCTTGACCACTGACTTGAAGTCCTTAGCCATCTTTACACCCCTCCTGGATATATGCTCCAAGCCCTAACCAGATTTCTCCATCACTGATTCCAGTGTTGTGTTGAAAACTCTACAGCACCAGGAACCCTACCCTACTCGATGTCCCCTAACAGCTGCCTTATTTTATTCACAGTTGTCGGGTGGGACCAGGCACTGGCTGTTTTCCTTAGAAATAAAGCATCAAGGCTTAGGGGCAACAATTTGCTCCTCAGATAACCTCCTTCCAGAGCTGCAGCTAGTGTTGTGTTTATCATTAACGATTTCAGTGTATTCTGCATCAAACTCTATCTCTAGGTAAAGAGGGGATCATTTCATGCAGAAATCATATTTTCTTCCCTTTTTCCTGGAGTGGTCATGTGCTTGTCTGTCAACTACCGAGTATCTCTCTCTCTCTGCTCATCCATAAAATATTCCATTCACATCAAAATCATACAAGGCCATACGTGAGATGAAAATAAAATATTAATGACATCAATATTTTTAAAAAATTAAAATGGTGTTAACAGTATTTTATCTCAATGACATTAAAATATTTTAAGCAAGTAAGGGGTGCCTGGGTGGCTCAGTTGGTGAAGCATCTGCCTTCAGCTCAACTCATGATCCCAGGATCCTGGGATTGAGCCCCGTGTCGGGCTCCCTGCTCAGTGGGGAGCCTGCTTCTCCCTCTGCCTCTGCCCCTCCCCCCTGTTTCTGCACACTCTTTCTCTCAAATAAATAAATTCTTTAAAAAAAATAAAATATTTTTAAGCAATTTAAGACTAATGGTCAGTGACCAAAGGTTTACAAACGAGTCTTCTCGTTGTCAATCATGGCTCGGATTTCCTACATCTTAAACTACTTCTACTAGCTTTCAATTACTTGCAAGCACACAGACCTCTGACTTGCAGAAATGCATCTGTTTTTGTTCCAAACTATGTGAAAATTCTTCAACCCTATCGTTTAATATATGGAAAAAGGAGCCAGACATTATGAGAGGTAGCTGCATCTAAACATAGGCGTTTATATTCTGGTCTCAAATAATCCACATCCATGCAGAAGAGCCTCTTTTTTTTTTTTTTTAAGATTTTATTTATTTATTTGTGTGAGAGAGAATGAGAGAGAGAGCATATAAGAGGGGGGAGGGTCAGAGGGAGAAGCAGACTCCCCGCTGAGCAGGGAGCCCAATGCGGGACTCGATCCAGGGACTCCAAGATCATGACCTGAGCCGAAGGCAGCCGCCCAACCAACTGAGCCACCCAAGCGCCCAGAAGAGCCTCTTAAACGCGAACTCTCCATTTCAGAGACAAGCCCAGCAACTATGCAACACGTTCCTGCATCCCCAGCCCCACCTTCCATGTTCTCAAAGTCACTGTTTAATAAGTAAATTAAAAAAAAAAAAAGAAAAAAGAAAAAAGAACGATCCTTCAATGACTACCCGCGTCAAAGGCAAGTCAACACAATGAAAACTTCTAAAATCTAGGAGCAAAGACATATGATGATCATGAGTTTGATTATGACTGTGCATCTACCGCTCTAAAGCTTCTGTCCTTCATGAGTGATGAGGTCAGAAACTTTGTACTACAAGAGGCAGAACAGTATCTGCTCAGGGGGCTGGCCCCTGAAACCTCCAGCTGGCCCCTGGAGACCCTGAAACAAACAGGACAGGGAGTCGCATGTTCGGTGCCGTATTTCCCAGCCAGGCCCGAACTCTCTCGTGTGTGTTCCCCGCTCATCCTATTAAGACTCCAACATGTATTTACTGAAGTAAGCTGAAGAAATGTCCAAAACTAGACCATTTCTTGATATTCGTTCCAATTCCATAGTCTATGGTTCACTCAATAAGCATGTTAAATACCACCAAGGTACCACACACACACAGAGTACTACATGATGCAGAGGACACACACACAACACACAACACACAAACACACACATACAACACATACATACACACACACATACAAACACACACAACACACACATACACACAACACACACATAACACACAACATAACACACAACACACACAAGACACACACACACACCACACACAAATGACATTATCAGAGGGGGAAGGAAAAAGACAAAGAACAGCTATTAAAGATCCAGCCTTGGAAGAAATTCCAGAAGGAAGATTTTTACTGCAACA